TATAGTAGATACCACCACTAAACAATGGTGGTATTTCCTTGCATGTTAGGGCATAACTTAGGCTCAATTAAAAGAAACCTGTATGACTAAATAAATGCATCCTGGCCCCATTTCCATATTCAGCTTTGCCTTAGCTGGCAGTGTTTGCGTCATTAAAGTGAATGGGTGTTTCCCTTTGTTATCAAGCCTTTACCCTAAAGGTCTAATCCTTCATTTTCTAAATCCTGTGGTTCCGCTGCAGAGACTTTTACTAACATTTTCTAAATGTTGTTTTGCTCAGCTCTAACAGTTCTTCCTCCTGTTGCTTGTGCTGCAAAATAAGAGTCCCAGATTTAGAAAACTTTTATAACAGTTGTGATGCCCACACACCATCTTAAACTAAACTAAGAAAACGCCATGCCTTTAAAGAGCATCATTGTTGGTATGTACATGAAAAGAAAAAAATGATTTATGAAAAATGTTCCATAAATAGCCTTAGTCTGTGTCACGTATGCTGCCTGTGAGTAATGCAGGAACTAATGGACACAAATCACAGTAAGACCTTAAGAGGAAGTTTAAGTAGCTACCAGTTCCAGGACATGATGTGTCATCAAGATCAAACATTTTCATCTTGACTGAACCCGTAAGTTAACTGGGTTTTCATCCCTCCCATGTTTATTTCAAAGCGTGATTCTCTTTTACACCATGACAGTGTGTAAAGGAGGAAATTCATCTGAGTGGTTTATTTCTGCAGTTAGTCCTGGGAGCACTGGGAAAAGGCAAAGGCGCTTGATTTTTTCACAGCTTATCTGTCTTATGTTATACTGTAACGACATAGTGATAATTCTAAACAAGATGTAAAAACCACTTTTTTTTATAAACGTTACATACTACACCTTTAAGTTTTCATTTCTCAGGGTGAGATGTTTGTTGGGGGAGAGGCTTATCACTTCAGACAACAAAAGATGCATTGATTTATAAACACACAAAGAAACAGGAAGCCCAGCATTAAAATATAGAAGCCCCTAGACAATCAATAGAATTAAAAAGTAAAATGTAAAATTTATAGCTTTATTCGGTGAAGGAGAATCAACATGGCAACATGTAGGTTTTTTTTGCCAACTGAGGAATCACAAAATATCTACTGTTAAGAAAAACATGCACAGATGAGTAGAGGGTTCATTTAATATTTGTGATACCATCTATTTCCAAAGTTGATGCTGGTAACTTCTACTCAACGTAACCCCACACTAAAGATCAGAGACTGGCTTTATGTTGCAATAATATGCTTTAGAATATTCAGGAAGTTATCATAAAGAAAAAGCTAAGTACAAGAAAAAATATATATTATGCTAAAATTCTGCAATAAATACAAGAAACTAACATTGGAACATGAAAATAAAATATGTATTCATTCAACAGCAAATTTAATTAATCATATTTACCAAACAATGTGTGTACTTATCATGAAAGCACTTTTTTTTTATTTTTCAACTCTGGAACCTCCATGATATGACTTTTTTCATCTGAACATATTAAAGGAAATGATATCACCAAGATTTTCTTCCTCATACTTGCTTTTCAAGATCATACCTCTTCATTCCTCATACCTCTCTGATACACCGCAGTTACAGCTGATGGCAGCACTCAAAACCTATTTCCCAGGTCCATTTTTTTCATTGCAATATTGAGGGTGGTTCAGATGTTCTGCAGAAATGTGGTTAAACTCTTTGGAGCTAAAGGACAAAGTGGTTAAAAAGTCAAGTATAGACTTTGACTTGAAACCCTGAAATTCCAGAAATTAAGGAACAAGCAAAATGTCGATTGCTGCATTTTGCAACGAGGCAAACAATATGATTCCAAAGCAGTAAAAGAAAAAAAAAATAATTATAATGCAGCCACATTGTCTGATAAATAGACAAAAGTTCAAAAACTAAGACAACTCAAAAGCTGCAAATGTCTTATCTGGCTAAATCTGATGGCCAGAAATCTACACTGTTGACTTTTGTATCAAACTGGATGCAGAGGCATCTTAATCAACGGAAGGAAAACGCATGACTGATCCTATCTGCCTTTAACATTCCATTTATAGATGTCACAAACAAACCAGCTCTGCAGTTTTTACTGAGTGATACATTTTAAAGTACACAACTAGAAGTAGCAACAGAGTAAAAACAAACAAAACAATTAAAAGAAGTTTTAATTGTTCAAATTGAGGGGGCATAATGGGTTGTTCTACTGGTGGTACCTGGAGCTGGAGCACCAGGCAAAACAGAAAAAACACACAGCATGGCTCCCAGAGAATAGAGCCAATAAAGAGTGCAGCTCCAGAGCAAACAAATGGGAATGACTGGCTGATCATGTGGAGTCTGTAAACAGTTTCTGGTCTACGTAACTGCAAAATCTGACAAAATACAGCTTCCTGGATCAGACTTTCATTAATTAAAAGTACTAAATAAATAAATAAAAAATAAAAAATGACTAGAAACATTTGTTTGAAAGAAAATATCCACCAACTTTGCCCCAAGGCTAAAACTGATGTGTCCCTGCCTCTTGTTTAGTGTGACGGGCAGACAATAAATAGTACAGGAATAGTAAATCCATTATTACTACAGTTTAGGTTTTAAACTTCTAAAACTACTACAGAATACCTTTTTGGTCGGTAGACAAATATTCAAAACTAAGTTTTTGTCATCAAAATCTCCTGAAAATGACTGGAAAAAAAAAGTTCGTTGTTTCATCAATCAGCAAACTAACAAAATAAACCAGAAGTCTACTATAGCTTTTATATTATTCTATCACCAGATCATTCAGTCAACATGCACATGGATCCTGAAGATGGTTGGTTTCACCAACCAATAACAAACATCAGTATTTATCGCCCTAAACGCTGAAAAGGAAAGTGGTATGGGTGAAAATGTGTTCCCAGGGAAACAAACGGCTAAAAGTCTTACACTGGTTGACTCACTGACAGAATCACCTGCCGGATTCACTTTTAAACTCTTACACGCTCTAAAAAGTTGTGCTTAAACGGATCCGCACATTGTTAATAAATCTGACCACCACCAAACAATAAATTATTACAAAGGGACAGGCCGCCAGCTTGTTCTGTCAGTAAAACCTATAAATTTACTATCTCAAATAAAAATAGAACAAAAAAACATGCAGATGAATTAAGCAACACCTATTCTCAAATAGTTACCTGTAAACAGCAAGACGACACGTCTTAAAAAAAGATTAGTCCACTTTTCCTCTGTTTTTGGATCGCGATGCACAAAAAGGCAGTCAAAGTTTTCTTACTGTTGCACTCCTGACTAACTTTGCAAGCGGACTGCTGAGGACCGGAGGAAAAAAAGATCCACCCAAGAAGCCAGCGAAACGTAAAGTTAAACGGACAGACGGAAACTTGGTGTTAGAAATTTCAAAATAAAAGCGCTAGTCTCTGCTGTCTGTTCGAATTCAATCTCATACCAAAATAATGAGTCTTTTATGTTACTTCCTTAAAAGCTTCAGCCAATTATTACCTTTCTGACAAATGTCAGAGCGATTCTACAAAATGAATGAATAAAATAAGAATGAACTGATTCTGAACTTTTCAATCTAAATTGTCTGTAGGTAATTTATGGGAAACAACAAAATACCTCCAGTTTCTCTAATTTAACATGTGTATGTTATGCTACATATTTTGAATGTTACTTCTATAAAATGATCGCATCATTTTGGCCACTAAATTAGTTTTTTTTAAAAAATAATTAAATTTGAGCAACTTGAACATTTGAAACTTCACTCTGAAAATCTCCTTAGATACTAAATTAGTTAAATTTTTTTTACCTAGCAGACTGATACTTCTTTGTGTCATTTGACAGTAATGAAACCAAACACACGAGGTGTCCCAGGTCTTCATTCACTGGCCTCTTGTTTCAATATCTGTCCTTCCTCTCACTAAAATCTCTCTGAACAAATAAGCAGAACCTGTTGACTTCTTGAAACCCAGACCAAAAAATATACAAACAAAAGATGGTTTGCTACAACTTTCCCATAAATATCAACTTCATATTTAATTTGTATCAGATCTTAGCTCTTTACTTGTTTTATTTATGCATTTGATTATTTCCTTTTACATGATGCTTAAATTAGTCTATTAAACTCCATATACAATACATTCTAATGCTCAAAAATGGCAACGGACACATTACCTATGAGGAAGGTAGGGCAAATTAATTTAATAAAAACAAGGGAACCTAGGTAGACAAAATTATACTTAGAAATATTGTAATATTAATTAGCTTTCTAATAACCAAAGAAAAAGTCTCCTCTAATTTATTTTGAAGGCTTGATTATCTGTTTCCGGTCATGTTAAGTTAGCTTTTTTTTTCTAACTTACCATGTCTGTCTCAGCTACTGGAGTCTGCAGGTTTCTCCTCCCTTTTTTACGTCACAGATAAGCCTAAGTAAACTCGTGCAACAAGTGGCATGGAGGTAGACTTCCTCACTGTGAGTTTCTAAAAAATATTTTTATATGTGTCTCCTTTTTTTTTTTTTTTTGGTGCAAATAATCAAACATAGTTCCATTCTTCTGAAAATAAATCAGCCATGCATATTTAAAACAGCTTACACAAACAGCGTCGTTGGACAGAGATACAAGAGCACAAAAATACAGAATGGGGCTAAGTAACACATCTAAGGTGTGTATGCAAGTGAAGGATGACACACACACCTAAAGACAATGAGCAGGAAGTCAAAACAGAACAAAACACAAGGATGTGAAAAAAGGGAGTGCACCAGATAAATATTTATGTTCAAATACTTTATGCTCATATCACTGAGCATGGACCAAAATGAAAACTACCGATTTAAAAAAAAAAAAAAAAAAACCAGACACGAAGGAAATAAGTGTTCCTCACAAAATTGATTCTTCTTCCTATAATTATTGTTTGGACCAATAAATAGCTTAACAAATAAAGGAGACAGGACAATAATCTGCAGTACCACAGGAGAGCAATACGCAAGTTTAAGCCAAATGGGAAAAACAGGTTTATTTTTAAACTGGACCTCATTATCTTTCTACCACACATTTTGGTAGCTCAGATTCTTGGACACACCAGCAATAATGGATAGAAAACAAAAATAAAATTCTGTATACAGGCAAAAACAAGTTTTTAAAAATATATATGTGGACAATCTAAATAGCATGACATAACAGTAATGGTACAAAAGAGGTATGAGGTACACTTAAGGGGCGTACAATGTTCTCTTTTCTTGCCTCTTTTACATGATTTTAAATTTAGTGCAATGGAAACTCTTGAGTCCCTTTCATGTTTCAATAAGGCATATGTGAAACTTAACACATCTTATTATAGCGAGACATGGAGAACATGTTACCGGTCCCTCTGACGGGTAAATGAAAAAACTTATAGTTGCATTAGAAACATGAACGTCTTCCTTCTTTTCTTTATCGAACATATTTATAACCTACAATCTTCTCTGTTGTAATAAAAACAATGATATAGATGTTTTATGAGCACATTCCATCAAAAGGTAACAAAAATTAACAAGCTACTACAGAACGTGTGCAACAGTCTTTCAAGTGCCTCAGGTGTCGTTATTTTCATTCATTATTACCAAAGTAAATACTGCAAAAAGACTCTGTCAGGGTCCAGTGCCATAAAGGTCCATTCATTTGTCTTCACTTCCTTCATGCTCCTTCTGTTAATGTCAACATACGTGTATCTAAAGATGTAATTTCTGCTTTTTGTTTTTTATGGGTGTATTTTTATTTTTTTTATTTTACAGATTTCCATCCTCTTAATGCAGAAGCATTTCTTTGGTTGCCTTAAATCCTCAGTTGCAAACCCACTTATTGATTGTGAAACTATTGGAGGCTTTTTTTTTTTTTCCATTAGATATAGGGAGTAACAACTTGGGTGTGGCAATAAAACAATCATCTTTCAAAAGATTCAGTTCCAGCCTGGCTTTGGACATCAACAAAACCCCAAAAAATACTACAAGGATTTTTGTGCACATCACAAACAGCAAGTTTGGGAGAAATTTAATTCATTTTTTTTTGAATGACTAAAAATCAACCAATAGTGATGGATGAAGCTGAACTAAAGAAAGGTAGGTCTTTTTGAGTCAGTGAAGGTGCTTTTTAAACCCGAGGCTTTTTGATGACAGTGATGTTTTCATCTCCCGCCTCCTTCCTCCTTCCAGGGCTTATTCAGGGAGCTCGAAGTGACCAATGGGAGGGGCCTTAAAGAGTCGGCCCGACTGCTGCAGCAAATCTTATCAAGTCTCTGATTCGTGTCCTGCCAGTGGGATGATGAACACAGTGATGTCGTCGCCTGAGCCCAGTTTCTCGTTGGGTAGCCGCCAGCCGCGCTCTTTTAGGACACCTCTGGACCTCATCAGCAGTTCCTGAGCTGCCAGTGTGTATCTGTGCAACACACACAGAGAGCACACATTCATTTCAGCAAGTCATCCACTTAAAAGTGAAGGAATAAATACATCAAAACAAAATATGAACGTTATTGTTTATCATACCTAAATCATGGCTTAAACATCCTATTCTTATACTTAGCAGAAGCATTTTAAATATCCTACATCACAGCATAAGTTAACTGCTTAGGCTAAATATAGTGTTTTTAAGAATAAAAAGCTTAAAAAAAGTTGCATGCATGTACAAAACACTTTCAAAATCTTAAAAGAACTCTTAAATATCAGTTCTAACAACAGCTTAGAGAATAGTTTATAAAACACACAGTTGGAAGAATAAAGCAGGATTTGTCATCCCCTAGTGGACAAACGTGACACAACACATCTGAATTGAACAATTTTGTTTTATAGATAGCACTCAGACAGCAAAAGCCTGAACCAAAAAAACAGTTTATGAAACTGCTCACCTCATGGGATCGGACGGGTCACAGCGTGATAAATAGTTGGAAACAGCTTCTGCCACTTCCTTGTCAGTCGTTACATCCCACAGTCCATCTGTGCCCATAACCAAGACGTCGTCTGGTCCGTGTTTGTTTTCATCCAGGTTGTAAACTTTCACCTGTGAACAGTGGAAACAACTGTTACATATTTGTAAAGCTGCAAATATGTAGCTTTATTTGCCGGGAAGGAGAGTCAAAAATATTTATGCTAAAATATCAAAGGTGATGGAATAGTTAGACAAAATGCCAGATTTTCAAACTTCAAAAACTAGAACCATCATCTCCAGTGTTTTTATGCGACATAATCCTGTACAGTTTGAATGAGTTGCTGAATTGTACAGAATGTTGGGGGGAAATATGAAAAAATAAATAAGATGGAATAATCTACTGCATAAGTGTGAACACCCTGAAACGACAATATGTTTAAACTCATTTAGATTACTCATGTTCACAAACAAATTCCACATTATGTATTTTATGTATCATTATACAGTGGAGAAATGTGTCAATTATTGGAAAAAACATAGGGCCTCAATAATACATTTTTTAAATTTTATTTTATTTTTTTCAAAAATTGAAGAAAACACAAAGGCAAGTGCCCAACGAGGCCAACAATGATCTGCTTTTTTCCCAAAAGATAACATAGAGGCTTGACAGAAATCTACTAAAATCTGGGAGAAAAAAATATGTATGACACGGGGGATTGCCAAAAAGCAAACAAAAGCACAACAATAACAACAACAAAAACAGACAGTGCTGTATGCCACATGTTTTAGGTGCTGAATCCTTAAAAGTGTTTTGGGTGTCACCTCTGATTACAGAGAACTGCAGCCTTTGGAAACTGAAATGAAACCTCTCTTGTAACCCTGTGCATTTTTTTTTTCAACTTTGATAGGTCAATAAATATTTGCTTTTTTTCAGAACATGCTTTGTTCAAATCGCTAACATCAAATCAGAGACACATTGTCTGAGTGACTTTTAATAAGCATGTGATAGTCAGATCATCTGTAAGCTCAAAATACTCAGGTCATTTAGTGATCCTGTGAGCTGAGTGAGGCTTGAAACAGGAAATGAGAAAGTGTGACCAACAGATTCTCTATTTAGGTACATTTGTCCTACAATGACATATGATGTCTATAAAGGGTGAAAAAATGGGTTAGTACATAAAAAGACAATACACTTCTCTGTCAAGTGAGAGTCATGCAAAAATGTAGAATTTATCTTAATTTAGCAAAATTGGTTTAACTGAATTTATTTTTAATTCTTGGTCATAATCAAGAAGGTTTTCTGTTATGGGAAACTGACTGTGGTTTATACTGCCTGGGGCTTGTGGCTCTGAGTTGAGATGAGGAAATGGTTAAAAAGGTAAACACACTTTCCTGTAAACAATTTTCACTGCATGGCTCATGTGACATTTCGTAGGTTTATTCGTCTTACAAAGGATGCATACATTAAAATGTGATGTTTTGATTATTTCTACATGATAAATGTTGCACTTCTCATTGAGCTTATACCAGGATCGAATATAGCTGTAGCCACATTCAGATCATTAATGTGTGGTAAACAGGCAGAATAATGCAGATCACTTTTTTTCAATCACGTCATACAAGTCAATCCAGCAATATCAATAGTATGATCTGTGTGTGCTTTCAGAGCAGGCAGCTGGGATTGTGGAATTAAAGATGCATTATCTATCTCTCGGTAGCATTTACCTGAGCAATATGCACAAAGTGTGTTGGGCATTTCCACAAAACCCAACAGTAACTGTCTGAGCTCTGTGTTGGGATTCCCATTCTGGCTGTCCCAAATGCATTTAGTGGTTGAAATAGAAAGTGATTTAACTTATCTTAAGTTAAATCACTTTAACTTAAGATAAGTTAAAGTGATTTAACTTATAAAGTGATTTAACTTATAAAGTGATAAGTTAAATCACTTAGAGTGATTTAACTTATCACTTTAAGTTAAATCACTAATATTTAACTTAAAGTTAAATATTCTAATATTAGAAATATTAGAACTAATATTTCTAATATTCAGAAATATTAGTTCTGAAGCACTAATATTTCTCATGTTAGAAACTGGGGTATCACAAAGTAGCACTTTATAGTGCTTCAGGACTTTGTTTGCTTAAGAACAAAGAAATCATTCAGTGCAGCGGGAGCCTGTTAATAGGTAGTTAGATGTTCCTCTGTTGCCACATTTAAATGAATGAGTCATTAAAAAGACTCCTGCAGAACCTGATGGTATCCTGTGGAGGTAATGCAATCACTTTAATTAGGTTTGCTGGAGCATGAACACATCTAATACATGAAGGACAGCAGATCCAATAGTCCAGGTTGGCATCTATTGTTTTAGTATATATACATGTTATTATACATTATACGCTGTATCATTAGTCAAGTAATGAAAAAAAGTTAATTTATCTATTTTAACATTTAGCAATTTACAGATAGATCCTTTAGAGCTCCACCATGGCTGATGAGTGGTTGGAAATAAATGTTATTCTCCAGACGGCTTCACAGTACGACAACCAGAATATTGCTAAGCTATTATCTCTGTTTTTTATATATTTTTAAATCCATATTGCAAAGAACCATATACTTTGCAAAAAAAAAAAAAATGTCAATGGTGAACCAAAGTTTGTTGAATTTTGATTTTTTTTTTTCTTACCCTAATGGTTTTTATTGAACAGCAGCTCGACAGGAAAGAAGGTGGGGAGAAAAGGAGATGACATGCAGCAAATGTTTGAAATTTTTGTGTTGTGATTAAATATTTTGTGGAAAACTATTACATCTCTTTGTTTATCTGCCAAATAAAGTTAATTTTAGGCCTGCAGGGAGTTTTAAAAACAGGGATGGAAACCAGTGAACACTAGTGTGATTTTGGGGAGGTTGAGAACCTTGCAGGCAGATAATGACCTCTAAACCTAGACTTCTTTAGTTTTGTTGCTTTTGGTTTTAAGAGCCGTTAATTTATTTGAAGTTTATATTGTTTTTGATCGTCCCAAAATGATTTTAGCACTTTCCTGAAATCACAAATCTGAGCAGAAAGAAAAGCAAAAACCAACCTCTCAGGCAGACCTTAAGGCCGTACTAAGAACTATTTTCTGATGTGACGCTGAAAAGGAAAGCTCAGGGAACGAGAGCCGTTTGATCTGATCTTAAACTGACTGAAGCCACTGAAGCAGAGACACGGAGGCGGCTCCTCCGGCGAAGCTGACAGGTAGCTGGTGAAACTGAGACTCACCTCAGGGACACATGACAGGAAGGGCTTGATGTAGATGTTGGAGTTGTACACCTTCAGGTCATGATCTCCCAGCCCACGAGTCACCCCGATTGTTGCCATTACACGAGCCTGCACACACGCATGGATACACACACGCACAGTCAGTATCACGTCAAACAGAGAAGTATTGCAGGGTTTTTGTTCCAGGATGAGCTTACGTTCCCAGAAAATCCAATTATGAAGGATTATTAGAAGAGAGCATGCTCTTTCAGAGAATAATGAAAACACTGAGCAGGTCTCATTTTTGTGCAAGCAGACATGGCATTCAGAGGAAAAACTCAACAGAGAAGAGAATGCTTTAAAAATGAAAATTAAAGAAACATAATCTGCTCCACTTTGATGAGAACAAATCATCCCAGGAAACAATGAAAATGGAAAAAAACAATAAAAACCTCTCAAAACATTATGATCGATACCAAAAAGAGTGACTTACACTGTCAATAATGTCACATTAAAATTGTTAAGCTAAAATTGCATATTTACATCCTAGACACTAATAAACTAATAGAATGTATTATCTCTGGTTTCGAGGAGACACACTGTCTTATGGTTTTTGGTTTCTTACCTTTTTCCCTTCTCCATATATCAGTGGGAACTTCAGATCATCTTCTACAATTGTCTTATAAGCCCTGCAGTGACAAAGCAAACACCGGCTGATTAGATACACGGACATTTCACTTGATTCGCAAACTTTCAGCCCAACTTCCTAGGTTATACTCGAGATTCGACTTAGCTAGGTATTTCTATGAAATATTGCTGATTAGAGCAGTCTTTAGCTTGGAAACAGATTACAGCTGATCATTTTATGAACACTTATGGGATGAGAGATGTGAAGCATGAAGAGTTTTACCAGCCAGTCATGGTGTGGTCTCTGTAGAGCATCTTCTTGCCCAGCTCACTGTGCTGGATCCTTCGAGGGAACTCAATGTGAGTGAACTCATTTCCCAGGAGTTCGGGCCTCAGGAAGCCCTGCAGGGACACACTTAGTTAAAAGAGGCTGCATCAAACCAGAGAATGAAAAGATTTGAGCAAATTATTTTCTAAAACAGGTTTGTGTGAGCGGAGATTGAAACCTAATAACAATAATGATGATAAAAAAGTCAGCTTGTTCTTGGGGAGTGTTATAGAGCTACTAAAGCAGACAACCGATGATTTACAGACAGCTGTGGGGTCAGCCTAGATTACTGAATGCTTGCTATTAAAATCTGAAAAGTGTCAGGGAAATGAAAAATGCAACAATACCAGATACTGTAACCGCTGTCTCTCTGATTCAGGGGTGAATTCATTAGTCATCGGAATGACTTCATTGTTTCGTATAATTATGGCCCTGAAGAGAGAAACGCAGAGAACAGAGCAACAGTTTGGTCAGCAGTGAAGTTGCAAAAAAAGAAAAGCTTACACAACGAGTATCTACACGAGCTAAGAGCACTTACCTGCTGTCTCCAGCATTGGCTACATAGAGTTTTCCCATTAAATAAACGACAGCTAAGGCACAACAGCCACCAGAAATGGCATAGGAAGTTTTTTCCTTTTCAATGAGGTCATCCTGCGAGTAAAAAGCAGAAATAAAAGGCTTCAGATTTCTCTAAACATGATTTACAGTTCATTCTTTCCTAAAAAAAAAAAACAGCAAAGAACAAAGAGGCTTTGAAGAAAACATTTGCTTCAGGATGTTTATCGGCACTGTAATCAGAAACAGACAGTAAAACTGCATCAAAGGAGGATATGATTCCAGAGTCGCAGATTCAGTCAGAATAGCAGTTCATGTGAGAAGGATCTTAATATTCTGACAACTTCATGATACAGTTTCAAGACAATCCAGCCTACTTCCTTTCTGTATTTAACAGTGGTGCCTTACAAAAACAGTTGTGTTGAAATTTTTATTATTTTGTTACATTACAGATCCAACTCTCAGTTTATGTTACAAATTGCTGGATGTAATTCAAAATTCTTAGCAAATAGAAATCTGAAAAGTAAGTCTCGTAGCTGTAGTCCTTCCCTTTTACTCTGATACCACTAAATAAGATCTAGTGCAACAAAAGTCCACAGGTAATTTAATCTCTGTTTAAATACAGCTGTTCTGTGAAAAGGCTGGTTAGAAAACATTCTTGAACAAACCACTTTGTGAAGACCAAATACACACCAAGCACACCAGAGACAAAGTTGTGGTTTAGATCAGAAACAAGTTAGAAAAAAATAATTTCCAAGGCTTTGAACTCAGAGAGTTCTGTTCAAACCATCATCTGAAAGTGGAAAGCAATGTTTCAGTGACTGATATCCTCATTTTTGAGGGCCATGCACTTTAAGTGGCCCCTGTTAAACAGGAAGACCAGCGAGATGGAGGCTGAAAGCATGTCTGTTTCCCAAGTACATGGCTGGGTAGATGGAAACAAAAGAGAATAAATATTGCAAAACGGATATAAAATCAGCTATAAGACAACACTGCTGAGACCTGATGTTGTATTAGGAATAAACTTCCACAATAAACTCTTCTTCTGTTACCAATTGCTGGATAAAGGCAGATTGTAGCTGAAGTATTGTTTACGTTTTAAAATCAGAACTGCTGCTCCTCAAGCAAATAAGAGGCCACATTTTCTCAAGACAGCTGCTGAGCAAAATTACAACAGTCTTAACCTCAGAGCCAAACCTTCAGTGAAATGGTTTATATCAAAGCAGTCATGTATTAACATGGCCCAGTCCAAGTCCTTATGTAACCTCCTCTGCCAATATCTAACAACAGAAGATAATTGCTGTTCATGGATGTCCTCTATTCAGTCTGACTCAGCTTCAGCTATTCTAAGTTTTTAAAAGTTAAAAACAGAGAGAGACAAACCCCCCAAAAGTTGCAGCTTTAATTGCAGGAAAAGGTGGTTCTTCAAAGTTTTGACCAAGTAAACTGAATACAAACCCACACCACACTTTTCAGAGTTTTATTTGTAATATTTCCCACTTATGTGCCGTTTTGTGTTGATTTTCAAATATAAAATCTTGAAAAAATACATTCAGGTTTGTTGGGACAGCATGACAAAATGTGGGAAGGTTCAAGCGGCATTAAAACTTATTTTCTAACACAAGCACAATGTGTCCTAATCCTCTCACCATCTGTTTGAAGGCGGTCTCTATGACTCCCATCACCAAGCTCTCCAGGCTGACGACCTTCTCCATGTGAAAGCGGACCGAGGCGTCGCAGACAGCGTCAGCGTCTTCCCCCGAGTCCTGCGTTCCTCCTTTTTTCGCCTCTGTCTGGAAGGGGCTGCCATTCTTGGCCAGGCAGATGGGAGGTGCACTGTTGGGATTCTCCAGTAGGTGGCAGATCTCCCCGAGGCCGTCTCTGATGATGCGGTGGAGAAGCTTGGACGCCATGATGGCAGCGCCAGAACCCGCATGGCCGTCAAACACCCCCCAGAAGTGCAGAGGGATTCCTGTGTTGTCCTGCAATCGATTCATAGAAACATAAAATCCATTAAAAAGAAATCATACAAGTTAATTTAGGAAAATATTCCTGTTTGTTGAATTTAAAAAAGCTCCATTTCGACATGAGTGTAGTTCAGAAATATGTTTAACCTTTATGACAATGCTGCAGCCATCTCTTGCACATTCCAATAATCATTTTATCACAATTAATCTGTTTGATCTGATTGTTTCAGCACTAATTGAGATGTATCATTTTAGTGCAAGAATAACAACGCAAAAAAAAAAAAAAATCAATCTTCTTTGATGTTAATAGCAGCCCTCAGTCATATTTACATTGGCTCTCAATGAGTAATGCAGAAACAAAGGAAAGAGTCTCCTTAGGGCTTTTGCTGCTTCCATATGATGCAATGAGTGATGGAAACGTGTTTGAACCTTCGTGTCTGCAGACATGTTTACAGGCCCAGTTAGCTTGGCTGACTGGTAAATAAACTGACTAGACATCTGCTTATCCCTCAGATGCTGCACGCAAGAGGGGGGAGGGCAGGACAAGAGATGATGTCATTCGTTTACTCCTAATGTAGGAGGCAAATGTGTGTATGTTCGAGTGTGACCTGAATAAGTACTGACTGAAAGATGTAAACAGGTGTTAAATGGCCACAGATGGAGTTCATTACGCAGATACATTAGATTTTACAACGTTATTCTTACATTGATGGATACTTGCTATTTGTAACTGACGGACAACAATGATAACTGATAATTGCACCATCTGGGTAGCTTTTCATTACGTTTATGTGACTGTCAGACATTAAGCAATGGCAAAGTGTTAACTGTCTTCAGTAAATCTCAAATAGGACAAAATGTCCCAAGATGGCCCCTGACAGAAGGATTCCACAAATTCGTTAAAATGTTGCCAATTTAAACTCAGCTGTTGCAAATTTATTTATAGAGGGTATTTAAAAAGAACCACAACTTTGAGTTGACAAAATTTTTACTAGTACAAAATGCTATGCATTAGCAAACCTTGACTGATGCCTGTTTAACATTATGGAACAGCATCTGAATAAAGCAGTGTAATGTGATTCTATTTAAGTGATTCAGTTGTGTGAGTTAAAAACCTCAGCTCAAATATAATCCTCAAATATTAGGAAAAATGAAACTGAGTATTAGTTAGGGTGCTAGTTACAGCTTCCTAACTTGCATGATTTTTGCTTGGCTTCATATTTCTGCTCTTTCCTCACAAGAAAGTTGATCAGACTTTTAATTGGGGATTTTTGTGTGTGTTCTCAAAAAAAAAAAGTTCTTATCAAAGAATGGGTTAAAACCAAATCATGTCCCTAAACTACATGAATAGACACTGTTAGAGACTTTCAGTGAAGTTGCTTCAAGATATAAAACAATTTAAAGTGCATCACTCCAAAGCACCTAGCTGTGTAGGTCAGACTGAAATCTATTATTCCCTCCAGCCTTTGACTAGCCCATTCATTCCTGGTTGGCTGTTTTTGCTCACCCCGTTGTCATCTACCAGAGTGGAGTTTCGGTGTTTGCTGCTTGGTTTCCTCACAAACAGCTTCTCACAAGACGCCTGGTCTTCATTCAGCATGCTCTTCCCTGCATTGATCGCCCTGATGGAGGAGGACACAATGAATTACAAAAGGAGCTTTGACTTTGATGATTCATAAAAATCATTCTGGTCCTTCTGACTACATTCTACAAAATGGTGGTAAAAACTAAGAGTGAGGTACAGAGGGGGAAAAAGTAGGGCAGGATGCAGTCTTGTCCCAGAAGGAAGTCATAGAAGAGATTAAGTGTTTTATGATGAGATGATGACGATGGTGGATAATGGCCTGAGAGTAATGCACGGTTTCATACTCAAGCAGTATCATCTGTCCTGTTGTGCATTGCAGCAGAATTTATTGAAACTGCTGGGAGGGAGGAAAAAAAATGATAACGGGTTGCAAAAGATTGCAACAGCATGCAGCCTTCTGAATGAACATTGCGATCTAATTTGTAATATCGTAGAGTAAAGTAATATAATATCACTCTACACTTAGTGCTGACTTTGCAGACAAGACAAATTCCATTGATTGATTATTTTCCCCTTTATGAGAAGGGAAAAGGCTGTAAACCCCAAGGCTTAAATAATCATCCTAAATTACAAACGTGTTAGCAAACATTCACCAAATTAAACATCAGGAACGTGTGGAGTCAGATTCCTGGCCTCTTGGTAAATGAGAGAGTTCATTATTCATTCTGCAAATCTCCGTTTCCTCAAAGTCAAGAGGGAAAACTCTGTCTCTTTAGCTGAGCTGAGCTGAACTGGATGTTATTAAATTCAAGCCAGGCATTATTATCATATACTCCAATTTAACTCAAAGCTAATACAAAAATATCGATCAGAGGTGCTATAGTTTCCCGTGGAAACTAAAAGCTGCCTGGAGGAGAAAGGAAGCTAAATTGGCAGCTATTCATGGTGTTTTGGAAACAGTGTAAAAATATCCACTGGCATGGTCAAGCTGCCACATGGGGTGAAGCTGGAAAGGCAGCAATTTGGGCTTCATACTGTTAGGTTATGTAACATTTTCAAGCTTAATTATAGATAAATGCTACATTAGCACATCTATGCATCTATTGAGAAATTTCAGTAATTTATTTATTGTCATGAAGTACCTCTGGGGATTTCTGCTGCTCCTGTTTTCACTGAAAGAAAAGTTAGAGAAACAGGATAGAAGTCCAAAAGAAATCTAAAACCGAGCCCGATACTGGAAATGTAGATAAGAGATAGGAGCACCATTAACTAAACCATAAATTTTAGCTAATTACAGTCACATAAAATCATGGATGATTGTTTGTCAGATCAAAAAAATATAGTGTATGAGGTTGAAATGACCAAATGTGGATTACATAAAGCCCTGTCAGTGTCTAATCAGTTGAAAGCAGTGGACAGGCACCACCGTGTCCTGCACTGCGGTGCCTGCATTGGGACTAATGACGGTGAAGAATTTTAAACCTCCTGATTGTCGTCTCCGCTTTCTGCCAGGGCCGGGACTTTATTTCAGAAATGCAGATGCATGACTGGCGAGAAACAACTCTTCATCTGTTCTGCAGCATGATCACAGCGATTCTACAAGCGCTCCTTCTGTTCGGCTCTGCGCTCCATATTAGTTGCTGTTCTATAGCTTCAGCTGAGCTTAGTGATTTTTTTTTATTATTATTTTTTTTTTCCACCAAGGTCATGTGGAAGGGTTGGCAGCATTGAGGCAGAAAATTGTCCAAAAGCTCGGAGCTTTGAAGAAAATTTGGAACAAATACAGAAGGCATGCTTTTGATTTGCTGTTACCAGATGGATTTCTTCCATAAAGCCTTTTATAAACCTTTCCGAGAACACATGATTAAATGTTCTCCTTTTTCTGTATCCTGAATTTTCTGATTCACAATAAAAGAGTCAGTGATAATTTAGTCACATGAGCTCAGTGAGCTATAATTACACGTTGCTGTTTGCTGCATGGGTGGATTTCACTTTAAACCCGCAGCTTCAGCCTCCGCTAGCATGTGCGTGAACTCCATCCCTTTGCTTTCTTTCTGTCAGATGACTGACAACTAAACTGTTCACTGTCTGGAGAATCAGTGTTTCTCCTGCTATGCGTTATGCAAGGAAAGTTCAAAAAGAGGAAGTGAAGAGTTCCTGTGAATTCTTTTTCTTGTGGCTGACGTGCTTTTTACGTGTGATGCAATTGCCTTTCTGCAGGCGTCACTTCTGAAACATTTTAAGGTTTATTTGAAACCACCTCTAAAAAAAAAACAGAAAACCTGACCAATCTTTAAGAACTACTTATAACATTTAGACATGTTCTCAACCAACTGTTTCCTGTTGGCTTAGCAACTGAGTAAAGCTGCGCTACTGGAAGTTGACTGATTGACAAACACTGCAGGACAGGTTGCACAAAATTGTTCACAGCCCCATGAAAATCATGAAAGAATGAGACTCTTCGTGCTCTGAATTCCTTTGCAGGAGGAGGAAGCTGCTTAGCAGCACATGAAGAAATGAAAGCCGACTGACAGGACAGAGTATACACCCAAAGTGAAAACAGGCACTACTCAAACTTGTGCATAGTTGGGAACATAATGCAGCTGCTATGATTGGCCTTGAGTATTTGTTGTTGTTGTTCTCTGCCTACATCTGTTATTTCATGAATCTTTAATCACATCGCCTATGTTTTGTTGTCACTAATAAAACATTTATGAGGTTCAAAGTACTTGTAGCTTATCTTTGCTTTCTATTAGTTCTGCGCTTGAAAGTAATAATTTCCATGCTCCAAAACAGATGAAACAGGAAGATGAAATTTATGCATCTGTACGTCAAAGACACTTCATTTCCCCATGACAGGTGAAAAATATATTTCTTCAGTTATCCTGCAACAATGTGCAAAACCCAGTCCACACATAAAAATGCCTTCTACAGTCATGTCAGGCCAATAAAAAAAAAGCACAACTAACTCCTAATTGCCTCCAAAAATGCATAAAATGTGAATGTAGGCCAGCAGGGCGGCCTCCAACTGGACAGCTTCCATCTGCACTATCTGCACATCACTGTTCATTCTCATTAGGGCACCAGGGGAAAAAAGTACTGAACAAAATGGACAAGACCAACAGATGCTCCACATCAGTTGTGTGAGGATTAAAACGTCTGCCTGCTAGATTTAAGATTCCTAAAGGCCAAATCATTCTAATTCTGATACATTACAGTACCAATCAGTTTTGTATTCTCCATTTATCACACCTTGTTTTGATATGAACAAATGAACTAATAAGATAAGATTGAATCTATTAAATGAATCGTTCAGAACAGCGGAAATGGGGTTCATAGTCTGTCTGTATTAGCATTTTGATTTTGTAGAAATCAACTAGATTTTCTAGGTTTATCGAAACTGAGCCAAGAGAGAAGTGGACCTCAACCATCTTAAAACAACCACAAGACCGAAATGTTCAGAGTGGTTGTGAGAATATATTTGTTCTAAACAACAAACGGCTCTCATGTTAATGTAGTGCTGAAACATCATTCAACCTGTCTTTTGAGATGTTCGGTACTCCTGTGGCTCACAGGACAGCAGCTGCCATACACACACCTTATGCCTTGGGCCGGCTCTGTTGTAACTAATACAGACTGACATGTCTGTAGGAGCAACAAGCAACATTTTGTCATTGCAACAAACACAACTGTGCAGTGGAACAAGATTAAGCTTCCAGCTTGAAATGTGTGAGTAGCAATAAGTGCATCAACAGTAATATAGTAATATACAAGATTCACATGTTGGTAGTTGTATAATATTGTCAATGTTGCCCAGCAGTCAGAATTATGAAATAAATGATACCCAGAATTGATAGAAAGCAGCATTTGTAAGTGTAGGGTTAGAGGCTGAGCTTTCCACTCAGAAGTAAAGATGAGTTCTATCAACTTGTAAAAACCGTGCGCTCAGTTTTGATGCCTGCGCTCTGGACTGTATGAACTTTTAACAGCTTAAGCTTGGCAGATCAGCTGATAATGCTGCATGCTGTAAACAGCATCAGCTCTAATGCTGCGATTACAGTTTCTGTGACTTATACACCAAAGTCGTTTGCTGCAGAGTGCAGCATGACTGCTCAAGCTAAACCATAGCCTGATGAGGCCCATTCAGCCTTCTGGGAGGTCATGGTGTCCCTGCTGACTTTTTTTTTTTGTTTGTTTTGTATGAGTCAGCCTTTTTCCTTAAAAGTTCAACACTGAGTAAGGAGTAGCCCACAAACTGGTGGACTGAGGCTTGTCTCACACACAAACACACACATGCAATAGTTTGGAATGTTACAGAGTGTTTTTTTGTCCGCAGGAGTCAGTCAGCAGTACATTCTGCTATCTGCTGATGCAGGAATCACATTCTGCTCTGCATTTCCACACGCACAAGTGATCCATTTTATTTTGTGTGCATGAGAAAAAGACGCAGGAACACAGAAATAGCAAACATCTCTTTACAATCGCATAGCTGCTATCAGATATTGTGGTCAGAATGTTTCAGAATCAAACCGGTCAGATCTGACGGCAGCCTGCATGCAAAGATATCAGACCTCACTGGTGTCTAATCAGCTCAGATGTGGACAGAGGTAGCTCTGTCTACCACTCTGATCATCACTGGGCTGCTGCAGCGCGTCGGAGCTGCTGCAGCAGCAAAACCCCTCAACAGGCCTGTCATTAAATTTACACCACACATCAGTGACTCATTTGCAATAGATTTAATAAACGTCCGGGGTCTGAATAATAAACGGATGCACTCACTCTGCGTATCCCGCCCCCCAGGGAAGCCTGGTGCCTCTCTTTAGCGTGACCACCGGCCGTGAGGCGTGTTCGGTGGAGTACTGCAGGAGCTCCGGGGTGAGGTCCAAGAAATCCGGCCGGCCGTAAGGGAAGCGATGCGGCAAGCCCTCCTGTCCGCTGTTCTGGCCTCCACCTGAGTGATGGTTGTGGTGGTGGTGTCCGTGAGGCATCATCCCTCCGACCAAGTTGGACATCGCGTTTTTAACTTTGCTTATCATCTTCGGCACCCGGACCAAAAAGAAAAGAAAAAGAAAGAAAGATCCAGGCGGAATAAAATTACACGCGATGCGATATCACGGTGGAAACGGACAGGGGCGAAAAACAACAGCGCGTGAAGACGGCGACGGCAATCATTTCAGGAAGCGATTGTTTTCCTCATTGGACCCATGTGACAGCTTTCAGAAAAGCAGACGCGAGGTTTTCCTCATTCAAACGGAATAAAAAAGCCTCCTTGGCTTGCGCATGGGCCGTGATCCGGCAGGAGGCTGTGGATCATCTGATAGGGCTGGGCTTCACCGGGATGTGCAACCAGCCGTGCAAAATTCACAGGCACCCAAATATCTGGATGGCAGATCTTTAAACTTCTTCTGATATCACATTTTAGACTTAAATCTGCCTTTGCTTCACAAATCCCCCTCTGGCCAAGATAAGGGAAGGTCTGGTTGACACTGACAGGAATATATTTCAGTTACTTTCTGATTCGTTGTGATGTAACTCTGCCCTGCCATCTCCAACTTCCGCCTTTATGACTCACCTATAATATGGCATCTCATCTGGTTGAGGATTTCCAACACCTCCATAATAATAATATTTAAAAAATTATATAACAAGTTATGTAACCAACAATCCTCTAATATCTCAGTCAATATTACAAATTCAAACTGTCCATAGGATGGGAATCTACAGAAGCCTTTCCCTGTAATTATTCTAGGGCTCCAATTATTAGTGCCACTGGTGCCTTGCATTAAAAAAGTCCTGGGTTCAAATCCCAGCAGGGGTATTTCTGCATGTTCTCTGGGTTTTCTCAGAGTACCTCAGCTTCCTTCCACAGTCCTAAATCTGGTGACATGAGGTTGTAAACGGTTTACAGTGCTAATAAGAATGGAAACTAGGAACTGAGTATTACCACGGCTGTAGTGAAACGGCCATGGCAGTATTATTCTGTCTGGATGTGTTTCTGCAACAGGAGCCTTTTAACTAAGATGGGTAAGAACTCCTGAACAAATCAATTTTTGAAGAATTTAGCTCCTATTTAGTTCACCTAAATTCAATTTATTAATCTCAACGGGAAGCAAGTCATTATACTGTAAGTGTGAGCAAGTCGAGAGAGATGCAAATTTCAGTGCTTACACTTCAACAAGAAAACCTGAAGGGTATTTGAACTTAAAAATTAAACAACAGACCAAATAAACAGACGTATATTTAAACAGTTTTCAATAGTATAGAAAAACATGTTATAGCTCCTTTTGATATCTACATAAAGTTTAAATACATTGCCCAAGGAAAAATACATAAACTATGATTTAATAATCCTGTAGCGTCATTAATAGTTGCTCTTTTTTCACCCAACAATGTAAAAGCATATAAATGACACCAAATTGAAAACTGTCAAAATTTTAACCCAAAGAGGTAGAGAAAGATATTGTATATTCTAAAAAAACATATTTTCTTTCAGAAGATTTTATAATCCTATTTATCTTATTAAAATTGTATTTACTTAATTACTTCTTCAAAAAATACAATAATTGGTTGGTTTTTTTTAAAATTATTCCAAAAATAGGCTGCATTATGTTACCTGTTTGGTTAAATAAAGAAAGGAAAACATTTTCTATTCTTGAGCTGCATCCTACAATGTTGGTGACGGTAAACAAGTTAAACTAAACTTAATTTTATAGAAAACTATATTTTATTTTATTTTTCTTTTGCCAAGTCGTTGCAAAGTATTAAAATACATTCTCTCAAAGTGGGATGGTCACCTTTGGGACTAATTGGTGGAGATGCTGTTTGACTGAACATCATCAGGCTCCTCACCAATAATGTCATGCAGTTTTTAAGTCCCTTATTTAATGTCACCTGTACAATGCATATTTAAAAAAAAATCTTTTAAAAATTAGTTTTATCTCAACACAATTAACAGTAACAAGTTTTGAATTGAAATATTTTCCTATTTATTATTTTTTTCTTTTTAAATCTTTTGTAACATTTCCTAAACACTTCTGTGTGACCATAGATGTACTTCTGACGATTTCTTTTTAAGCAGAAAACATTCATAATCAACAATAGCAAATGAAAAGGAACATCACTGTCTGGTTACCTCTTGCAAAGCGAAAGAACAAAGAAGCATTATTCTGGTAAAATGTTGCCCCCCAGTGTACATGGACTTAATAACTTTAAAAAAAAGACACTTGAATTGTAGTCATTCTTCAAATTACAAAAAAAGAACTTCCAAATTACAATCAACCCAGTAGGCATTAAGAGGAAAAAGAAGGTATTTATTTCACTGCTCACATCGCACTCAATTACTTCAGTGTTTGGCTGAGCAAAGAAAGCACCAAGAGAAGTGCTTGTTTGTTTCTGCATGAGTGGAGCCTTCCTGAAGAGCCTGCAGTTGAGTTACTTAATTTATTTTGTTGTTTTTTTATTTTTATTTTCATTTGAGAACCGAGCATCTATGATGGCTGAAGGACAGCATTGAACAGCCTTATCATCATGAGGATGAGAAAAACAAAACAAAAACAAAAAACATTAGAAGGAAATCATTAATCCTGTTTCCAGAATCAATGTAGTGAGTTTAGGAAACACGTAGAAGACTCCAGACTTTTGATGTGGTTCATCTTTATCACTAAGCCTACAGTAAGAGCTACAACTGAATTATGTTTTGCAAAAGTAATAAGCAAATATTTCATCCTCTTGATGTGCCAAGCTGCTTTAGGCAAGACTTTTAGTTGTAATTTCAGTGAAACATGTTTGTCATGTGTTTCTTTTTTAAGGAAAACTACAACTATGAGTCACACCCAGCCAGTCGTATCGGCAGAACTATTATTTCTCTTCATCGTCAAATAAACCGATCCACATAAAATGCTGTGTCACAAATGTAATTTAGAATGTTATCACAAATCAGCTATATCACCATAATAAACATGGTGAGTGTTTTCTTTTAATTCTTCTTAAATTTATAGTAATGCATTTTAAAAGTGTTGTTGAGCTATTTTTATGTCAAAGTTTATAACGTGAACTTTAAGCAAGACCCATCTATTTAAGTGTTATTTATTTATTTATTTTTCACAGATTATGCAAAAGAATTACTGCCATAAATAAATAAGACGCACTTATGTACGTTTACCAGTAGATGGAGCCAAACAGCCACCAATAAAAACTCATCGTAAGTAGGAAAACGCAAATATATATTCTGTATGTATGTTTGTTGGCATATTTAACACTTGGGATTATGTAAATCCTGTATTTAATAAGTGACTCAGACAGTTGAACATGCTCTTAGGCTTCCACATCTTTTCTCTTTAGCACATTTTCATGACTTTTTTTTTTTACAGCAGCTGTTGTATTGCAGGTGGTCTACAACACCACATGCTAGCGAGTGATAAAAAGAAAGCTGAAAGATTTCCTTTGCCTCAAAGCATGATTTCTTTTCCTCTTTGATTTTATTCCCTCTCCTCAAGATAAAGTACTCCCAACACAGAGAAGCAGTGGATAAAGATTTAATCTCTTTCCTGATGAATGACCCTCTGCTTCTCTGACAGCAGGTGCTGAGGCACACTGCTCTGCTGTGAGAAACACTGAGATGTTTCTGTGAGTCGTTTAGGTTTTATGTCTTTGTTTCCTTAAAAGGTGCCTGAACTGCACACGGTCGACCCAGTTTGGGAAACGTCTGCTGAGAAGAGATATTTGATAACCTGTTAAAAGTCAGAGTCATCTGGGGTTCATGTATCATTGTGTGACAGATCAATTTCCCCAGCTTGTGTTTTCAATCAAACTGCTCACAGTTCTGCATGTACTGTTTTCTGTTATGTTTTACCTTCATTTAACAAAGTTGATTATTTTTAATTCACAATTCCCAAATGTGTGAGAGTGGAGTGGGAGCATATCACTTAACTTTACAGAACTTTAATGAATTTTGAAAAATGTCTGATGTGCTAGTGTTATTGAGTTTGGGATTTTCTTCAACCCACATGGGGGCCAGAGATATACACACCAGGACAAATATTTGAAATAGTGAAAGTTTGAGAATGTCTTTCAGCTTTACAAATTCAATACCTACTAATTTCTTATCAGTGATCAGGCTTGATTTTAACTGATGGTATATCTCTGTCAGTATAAAATACATGGTGATGGTGTATGTGCTGCCCTGTGATGAACTGGAAGGTTGTCCAGGGTGCAGACCACAGGCATAACTTTGTAAGGATCTTGGGTTGTTTGAGCCTGTTTTGTTGTTTTTGTGTTTTGTGGAGTTTCTTATCTCTTTTAGTTCTGCCTTGTTTCTATTTTTACTTCAGTGCCTTCTTAGTGATTGTAGTTATGTTTATTACTCCTTTCTTAGTCACTCTAGTTTTTATTATGTTTCTTATTTTGCTAGATTCATGCCCTCAGTGAGCTCTCCCTCGCCCCTTGTGTCACTTCCTCTTTCTCTCTCTGTCTCTCCAGCCTGCCTTCTGCTCTCTCCCCTCACACCCACAAACCGTTAACTCATCAGCCCAGGTCTTTTGTTCAGCATTCAACCTCCCAGTACTTAAGCACCTCATCCTCAGTTACTTCTTGCTGGTTCCTCCCATTACTTCCCCATTTAACCCTGTGTACTCCCTGTATCTCCTTGCTGTGTTTTGTCCTGTGCGGATTATGGTTTTTGTTGTGGCCTGGCCCCCTGTGGTTTTTGTATTTTTGTAAGTTTGTATTTTCATTAAATCTTCAAATTCACTTGACACTTCAGTCTCCCTGCATATGGATCCACTATATCCTCCAGCAATCATGACAGACATAGTGTAGCTCAAGCGATAATAATAATAATGACAATGGTTAAAGACAATAACTAATAACTTAACAAGGGTGTTGATTACCAGATTGGTTCGGATTACCTTGTTCCTAAATAACTTAGATCATCATTTAAAAGCTGCATTTTGTGTTTATCTATCTGACAATAGATTTAAGCCAAAACAGATTACATCTGTAAGGGGGAAATACTTTTCCACCGCATCGTATGGGCGTTAAAAGCTATCTGATAAATGAACAGATAGCTTTTAATATTGAATCTCCTTTCGTGTTATCGTTAGACATTTATCGTTAAACCTAAGACAGTGCTTTATTTCTAAACTGTACTTTTCCAAATCTAACTAAGTTGTCTGTGGTTGTTTTGCAGTGTAGTATTGCTTGCTGTAAAGATGTTTTTTTTTTTTTTTTTTTAAGATGTACTCTCAATGTTCTCTCTAAATTGAGCTCATATATTCTGAGTTTATGTGGGCATTATTTCTTTCTTTATGGATGGAGCCTCCTTTGGCTCGACTCAGAGTGTTGCTGAAGTCGGAAACTCCATTATCGGGGGCCCCTGATGAAAACCTGTTAATGGCCGTTCAGTTAGGCTTGAGGTCGAGAGAGAGACCCGGCAGTGCAGCCACACACAAAGCCATAAAGCCTGATGTAGGGGCCTCTCATCGAGCGTCCGCGGCTCAGGAAGAATAACTGTACCGGTGTCTGCAGACCTGTTGAATTAAAGGGGGCATTAACTGCTGCATCCTCTGCATTATTGATGGAGAGCTCCTTTCCCGAGGCCATAATGTCGGTTATTTTTCCCCTTGCAATTTTCTGGTAGACGTCTTGCTGTCTTCAAACACACTTCTGCAGAGAGCAAAGAGAGGGTTCAGGCGAAGTGCTCGCCCTTCTCCCTGCAGGTTGCTGTTATTTTAAACTAAGCTGCGGACCGCCGCAATCGATGCAGGGCTGCAGAAACCCCATACAACAAGTCATGTTGCATGCGTGAAATGAGAGTAATCACAGTATGACAAGCGTGGTGTGATGAGTGTTATGCAAGATGCCACCTACACTGACAACACAAACGGAGGTGGTGAGATTTCCTCCTAAAGGTGCCAAATCACATGGTGCCTGGAGTGTTTCTTCATGAGGTGTGACCCCAAAGAGACAAAACCAGAGATTTTCATTCCGCTTTGATGCCAAACGCTTCCTAACAGGGATTACCTCATGAGTCACCCCCGCTGCCACCTACAGTACACTTGTTGTCGAGTTTCTCCAACAAGCGCTCACGCTGCTGGTTTTATCTGCTCCTGGCCAGCTTGAGGCACCTCACCACGCCGCTGACCTCATCCTGTCAGATGATTTAATGAGCAGAGCCTTGTCACAAACCGGTGCGTCTGGGGACTTATGGGGGAGCACCACACAATGCCCCAAAGATTAATGAGGTCATCTTCATTGCCCAGCGCATGTGAGAGACACTCGGTGGGGAAGAAAGAAACTTGATGACTTTGGGAACCGTTTAATATAAATGACGCAAAGAGAATCAAAAATAACAGCCTCAGTATTCATAGGCAGTTATGTGGTGATGTGAAGCCCGGCTCTGGTCTACTTATCTGCTTTGAATTTTATAGCTCAGCCTAGTCGATGATAATGAGCTGACATTTTTTTGTACTCGGTCAGCAGGGATTGGTGCTCTGCCCTTTGATTCTGCTTCCATGTGTGGGATTCCAATTGCGTGTGTGTGTTTGTGTGTGTGAGGAAATTCATATGAGCTTTGGTTTTATGATAATAACATTCTTAAGGGCAGTCCCAAATCAATTCACCTGAAGTCCAAATGCTTGACTTCCATCTCTGTAGGCCTTTTCAAAGGTTGCTATTGATTGTTCCAACCTTTACCAGATTTTCGAAGGGATAGACGAAAGAGATTGTTCCAGAAATGGAGAGATGATAATGCAATTAAGAGGGAGGAGGCCTTGTAGAGTAAAGAGTGGTGCTGAATGAGAGTGGAATCAGAATGAAAGTTGCTAAAGCAAAATCTTTAGCAACTCTGGTTAGTGTGTCTTTTTCCTATATGGACTATTAAAAGTCACAAATAACTTCAAATGAAAGTCCACACTGTTGTCTCACCTTGTGGTTAATAAAGTAGATGGACCAGAAGCTGAAAGTCAGCAAACTGAGAAATTCCAGAAGAAGCTGCTCATTATAAAAAAAAAATAATAAAAAAAAAAAAAAACAATCAGAAGTTTCGCTTGACCATAAAAATGCTTGGTAGAATGGGGATTCATTTTCCAGTCCCTTCATTTGCTTTTGGATACCCCCAAAAAAAAAAAAAAAAAAAACGGAAATCAGTATCAACTAGTAAAACCCCAATTAGTGGCACTGTAGGAAAACAAGGATTTGACTATCATATGCAAATACACATATTAAATCAAGTTATTTTTAACTTTATAATAAATAATGTCTCTTATAAGTTAAGCTACCTTGGAAAGGACAAAGATCTGTAAAGGGCACAAAACAGATTAATGAATGATAGTAGAGTTGCAGCAGACAGAATTTAGCAAACATAAAAACTAAATACCTCCAACAATTATTTGACGTTTATCAATCTAAGTTTAATCTTAGCCCAGAAATCGGTAAAACATAACCATTAAAAACTGGCTGATTAAATTGAAATGTGCTAAAAAGCAGCACAATTCAACTACATTTTAACAAGTCTACATGTTCCACAGGTTTGAACTAAGTCAAAATGTTTCCACATATGACACACAGAGGTTGATTTTACCTTATCAAATTGATCTGAAGAGCTTTTGAAGTGTGGAAAAGTGGTCAGAAGAGGAATCTTCTGAGATAATAATGACTTGAGAGAGAAAGAGAATGGAGGAGGAAGACTAAGATCAAAGGTCTGAGAGAATACCAGGAAGAGGGCATATTTACAGTTTAGCAGTTAGATGCAAGAGGTCTAGAATACATCATCATTTCAAAATCTGTAATCTGAGAGGGAGAAAAGAAATGAGTAAATGGATGGAAAAACTAAGAGGCAGCTTCAAACTTTGTGAGGTAAAAAGAAAACACACTGGAACAAGTAAAACTGGGATTAGTATCTTCGGTTGAGCTTTTGTAAAAGATTAGCAGAAAAATAACATATACACATTTGAACCTAAAACTGTTTTTTTTGTTGTTGTTGTTGTTTTAAATCAGTGCTAAATAAAACTACTTTATTAATCTGTTTTGCTTGAGGTCATCTGGTATCTTGTTTCTGTTTATTTTTGTTTCTTACCAGTTACTCAGATTAACTACTGAATATACTGTAGGCTGAGTCCTGATAAAAACATTCAGAAAAGTGCCAAATCTCCTACTTCATGATTTAGTTTTTATTATAAGAAACAGATGAACAGTCGGTTTGCAAAGGTCCTTTAGCACAAAACATTTGGCGGTCATTTGGTAGATGTTAAAAATATTTTGTGCAAAACTGAGTTAAATAACAAAGGATAATGCAATGTGAATATTTTACCATCGTTGACAATTTATACCTTTTTATTTCATTTATTTATTTATTTCAATGATATTTTACTCTATTCTTCTTCCTGAAATGATTCAGTACCAGAATTACAGAAAGAAAATTGTCTTTCTGGATAAAATGCAACAAAATATATGCATTTTTGTCCAAACGCAAGATAAACTCATTCATCCCCTCCCAAATGATGTCATGCAATTCCCAACTTTTTCTCCCCCACGTCCCCTCACTAAAATATCTCAAAACTCTTTCTCTAAAATTATATTGTGTCAATGGTGATCTTTACTTTGTTTTTTTCATAATTCTGATGGATGGGAATTAACAATGGAATAAAAGTAGGAGTACTACAAAAATATATTTCTATGTTATTTTATGTTTTTCTGCATGTCATGAAGCATCCAGATTACTTAGAATCCACAAAAACTGCAGCTTAAATTCTGGATGACCGCTGGATGGCGCTAAAACACCACCAGCGCAGAAACACTCGTTATTGAATCCGGCCGCGCTGGCATTCCTTTAACTGCTCAGATTCATTTTTTTTAACTGCACGAAGCTGTTGCCCAAGCCAAACCGAACTCACTTTGTTGAAGGAGAATTTAAAAAAAAAAAAAAAAAAAAAAAAAAAAAAAGCTCACTCTGCCTCAATCGTGAAACTATGTCCGACTGTCCGGCTCTGAGTCCAGCTGCAACGACTCTCTGCCAGATGGGAAGTTGTGAGTCAGACCAGGAGGACGCGCAACTTTTATAGACTTTCAAGTCCGCTGCTTGCGAGTAACCAGCAGCGCTCAGTTTAGTCCTCTGACTCTTGGATTGCGCGTCTGGAGAGCTCTGGTGTCAGCCCACCGCGTGTTTCAGGTTCGGTGCTGTTCAGGGCGTCTCTTATCGAGGAGGATATGGTAATAACATTAAGATCATGTTTGTGGTGTTTGCGGTTTGCAATGGAGAATAAATAAAAAAGGACGGTTATCGGGGATTAACTGAGAGCACAAAAGCAGGTAGGTCGTCTTTGCAGTTTTTAACCTCTCTGCTATTTATTTATTTGTATATCTGAGATGTTGCTGAAAGATTCAACAAGATGATTTTTTAAAAAATCTAACAAGGAGATTAACCATTGAAAATTTCCCAAACGCTTACTGGTATCACTGATGACACCAATTTGGAAATGGACGGTTTTAAGTCCTGTGCTGGTTGCTGCAGGTTGGCATATTTTCAACTTTCTATTGTCAGCATCTAGACAAAAATCAGATCTATGCCCAAGCACACATTTTATATTGACTTCTTCAATTTAAACAGAGCCAGGACCAGTTTTTTCTCTCTCCCTCTTTGAGCTGGTTCAGAAATTGGGGGTTTTTTTTTTTTTTTTTTTTTTTTTTTTTGGCTATTAGCTGCACAGGCTTTTTAGTTACATGCATAGGATGCTAGGTTAAGCCGTACTGTTTTTATTAAATCCATGCCTGATCAGATAAGATCAAGTAAGTTTGAAATGTTAATTCATGAGACATCAACAGAGATGTGTGAAACAGCAATTCAAGGAAAATCACGTAAGATGATGGAATATCTGACATTTCTGACCTAAACATTCTGAGTGGGCTGGTGACTGAAATCAAGAAAGGAAAATTAAAAGTTCAAAGAGTTTTTATGAAGATTTAAAGTTTAGTGCATTGGACATAATCCTCCTTAGGATGAGGATGGTGACTCATAATCATCCCTGTTTCATCTGGATTTCTTAGACAAGAATATTGAATTGAAATGTGACATTATGAAAAATAAAAGTTTGAATGAATTAATGTGCTTTTCAAAATTAATCTTTGAAATGCATAAAAATAGCTTTTAAAAGTGCAAAAAATGAAACACATGAAAAGAAGAAAAATGAATATATATAAGTGCAAAATTCTAAAACAAAACCAAAAACCTTTTAAAATAAAACAAGGTAATACAATTTAAAGTTGTAACCAGTTCTAATAGGCAATCAGTTGGCCAAATCCTGAAAAATCAGATTCCCCCCCCCCAGTCATTAAAGGCATTCAAAGTAAAATCTGCCCGTTTCAGTCTATAACTCATCAATCAAGAGCATGGACTGTGATGCACTTTATTGAGCTCAATAAAAATCAAATAAAGGTTAGGAACACATGCTTTGCTGCACAAATGAAGATTCAGTCAGCTACCTCTATCAAACAGTTTATTATGGATTAACAGGATTTGGGATTTTGGAAAAAAGCTTAAAAATAAACTAAAACATTTAATTAATTATAATCTCCAGGTCAAAGGAAGGAGAAAACTGCAAGACGCTCCCAAACAGAAAATATCTCACTAGTGCAACTAAAAAGATTCCTTTAGGGAATTAAATTTGTTTTGATTTATGCAAAGATTTATTTTATCTACTTCACTTTGGATTTAAATGACCTTTAAGCAGAAGACACAACTCCAGCTCTACATATTAAGCCATACTTTCACTTTTGGTTGACCAAAATAGATGGTCTAGCCTGACTCTGTTTTTTTATTTATTTATTTTTTACCCTGAGCCCTACATCTCAAAACTGGATGGCGTTAAATCTGTGTGTTTCCATCTTGTGTATCAGTGGAAAGGTTACCTGAACATGGCTCCCCACTGGAAAGCTCTACAGGCAGATCAAATACAGATCTGAATCCACAGCAGGGGCCAGTATGATTCCTGTGAAATCCACCATAAGAGTGAAACAGCTTCACCTACAAGCTCTTGCTCTGTGACTTTTGCAGAAGCACAAGGCTTTGCTCCTGTTGAAACGCTTCGAACGCTCAAACAGAGCCTCTAATGAAAATTGGCTCTTGTGTTTGTCGTCAGCTGCTTTGCACACAGAATGCAGATATTTACGGCTGTGCTTACACATCGCTGAGGCGGAAAGGTTCATTCTCTCTTTCTTTCTCACTTATAATCTATGTTCACCTTGTTCCTTCAGCTGCCCTTCATCACCTTGCCTTGTGTGGTCAGCTGTTTTTTTTTTCCCCCTCCTTTTCCTCAATTAGTGCTATCATCGCATTTCATCCTGCAGAATACGAGGATAGTAATAACCTTATACTCCTATTGCAGCCTGATACAATTCTACTGTGATTAATTGAAGTCCCCTCAGAGAGTCAGACGAGGCGTAGATCTTCCCTTTCACACTCGCTGACAGGCAACCCATTATATTGTTTTATAGATCACCGTCAGTAGCCCTTGAAGCCGCCTGTGGCCCACTGTTGTTCTGGAGGGTTTTATTGTGTAGGGTTATTGGTTGCTATTGCTGACAGGCGGAGTAAAGGCCACCTTGGGATTACTGGAGATGGGATCTCTGTGACAGCCCCACTGTATTTGACAGTAACACTGGAGACCTGAAAAAGCCTGCTCTGCAGACTCTGTTGGAGAAAAGAGGCAATTTGATTTTTAACCCTCACAAAAAGAAAAAAAAAGTTTTGCCACCATGACACCACAATAGTGCACTCACTTTGTCATCTGTGGTCTCCAACAGCAGGTGAAGCAAACATTTTGAGCTTTTGTGCTATTTGCATGTGACAAAACACACTGCAGCTTTGTCGGAGAATCGATATAAAGAGGTGAGACAGATTGCCTCGCAATTCCACTTGTCTTTTAAAAGCTACCAGCAAGTGGGTATTGCAACAACACAGCGAAGAATTCAGAGCACTGAGTGAGGCTTGGAAAGCGTCCTTGATATGCATGAGCCACCAGGTGACATCTAGAAGAAGAGAACGGTGCAGAACATCACAATAAGAGGCTTGTTTCTAGTTTTAAGAAGCCACCCCAGGCTGAATTTGTGTTCTTCACCATCTTCCTGCTCACGCTGTCAGATCAATAGGGCTTAATAAAAAAATCTGTAGCGTGTTTTCAGCCTTGAAACAAACCGTTCAGCACTTTAGTTTTTGCACTTTAGAAAGGTCTGCGTGGGTATTGTGCAGTTTTGCTATTAAAATTCCTCTTTTTCCTGCAGTACTTCTAAATGTGTCCTCCTTGAACACACTTTATAGATGCCATGCGGTGTGAAAAATACAAGGCATGTCTGTTTATGCAGAAGGCACGCACACGACTGTTCAGTGTCTTATGAAGGAGAAAATACACAGTGATGTCACAAATTAACCATAAAACCATGTCTCTTGCATCACTTTCGAATCGTTATATTACCTACCGGCTTTACAGGTTTGGTTTAACAGAACAATAAAAAAAAAAATCCGCCATCTGTCTATGTGTACATGATTACACTCGATTTCAATGCCTCAAGATTTGCTGCTCGGTGACGTTCATAGGCTAATGTGTTTAGAGAGCTTTTTGTTCCACCTCTCAGCTTGCCAGCTCAAACTGCTGAGGTGAATCCGTCTGGTGCTTAAGGGGAGATTCAGAGCACCACAGTAACAAAAGAAATGCAGCACTGGGATGCTCGTGTGCTGCTCCGTCATGTCAAGAAGAGGAGGAGGACACAAAGAGCATCCCTCATGTTTTATAGATGCCATTTAAAGGAACATTCTCAAAAACAGCCTTGTAGAAATGAAGTACAGCACACAGACTAAACACCTAGACAATAAACTAACAAACTGGTTTTTGTGGGAGGCAGCAGAGTCCTAATCACTCATCAGGGCTGATCTGTGCTGATGCGGTGCACAATTTTTCTCTGGAAGATTAGGCTGGGAAGCACAACCACATCTCTTATTTATTTTTTTCATGCCGCGTTGCTGTGTGCACGTTTGGGTGTTTGGTGCACACGAGGAAGAGAGGCAGCTGATGATGATGATGATGATGATGATGATGTTTGTGTGCAGCTGAAGTATTGCTGGAGATCCTGCGTGGTTGGTTGAATGATGCATGTGTGCAGAGGCTTGTTTTTATTTTCTGCTGCATCATTGAAACTTCTTTTTTTGGGGGAGGGATTGTTGTTATTTGATGATGGTCAGCTCATATATGTTTCCCCCTGAGTCCACATGAGTTGAATACAGGCAATCAGGCGAAGTTCATCTGACCCTCAAAATAACTGTTATTAAACAGCTAATGTTAGAACTGCTTTGCTGGAAAAGTGCAGCCTTCATTTTGCTTTTCTTAGTTCAAGTTTATTTTATGCAAGACAAAAACAACTTTAAACATAGAAAACAAAACCACACATTCAAAATAGAAATGAGGAAAATAATGAAGATAAAATATTTGTAAATGGTCATTGAGTTCAACATATGTTCTCAAAAGCTTCAAAAAGCATCAAAAACTTTGCCTCCATTTCTATAATAGCAGTTTCAGGGAATAATTGGATGCGATGCAGCAGTGAATATTTTTAGCATTTTCTTTTGTTACTTTCCTCAAAGTCAGAAGTTTACATACATTAAGTCTAGTAAGTTTCTCAACAATTTTGGAAAGTCCACACAATAGCGTTGTAAGCATTTATTTCATAACACCTGTTCTATCATATTCCAGTAGAAGAGGAGATGAACATGTTTAGGTGCTACATGTTTGTATCAAACCCAAAATGAATAGGCTGAAACTGTTATAAAAAAATTCTCATTTACATTGAAATTGAAAACAAAACATTGTGGTTATTAACAATAAATAATTTGTGCTTTCCGTTATTTGTCTGAACCTTATTTGAGTGGCCTGAAAATTTCACCCCTTTTCATTTATTTTTTGAAAAGCGTACCTGCCTGGGCTGATGATTTTTCAACATTCTCAAACTGCGATTCTGGAATCCCACAAAAATCATTTTTAGGGCTGGAAATGACCCTGTGGACAGAGTTTGAACCAGTTTAAATCATCATGTTTGTATTAGCAATAAACATAATTAATGTTTTTGCCACAGTTTTACTGTTACAGTTAGTTTCTCTGCTCAGAAATGTGAATCGCATGGGAAGGTTACTGGTTTACTGTAGCAATGTACCATTGTCTGTGTGGTACGTATATATTCCTCTAATGATCTTTAAAAGGTTCACGTTAACTAAAGAATGTTTTATGTCACTTCATTCCTGGCTCTGATTAGCTTTAAAGTGGAGA